GTTATAATTTGAAAGTTTTCGTTTGTAATAAAAGTTTCCCACATTAGCTCTAGGCAAATTTAAAACATTTTCAAGGTCAATACAAACAATTGCAGTTTTAGAATCAACATTTTGGCGATCATTTTCACGTTCAGTTTTGGTATCATTCCTTGATTTTATGTGCTTATTATAACTATCTGTTTGTTCATTGCTTGCATTAACAATGTTGCGATACTCATAGCATGTGTCACATAAATCTTTCTTCGGTTTTTGAAGTTCTATATTGAACTCGTGATTAAAGATATAACGATACATATGTTCTTTTGCTGGAGGAGAGACATTTTCATCACAATATATTTTATAAAGATCATACATTCTACCTATATTTAGTGATCCTTCCATGTATTCTTTATGTGTCTTTTTCCTGCTATAATGAGCATCAATTCTTGGGAAAAGGTTAATATGGTCTCGTACAACTTGTTTAGACTCTTCTAGTAACCTTTTTTTAACATGTTTCCCTGATTTTGATTGCAATGGTGTTCCAGTAGTTAAAGATTTATTAAACTTATGAAAGTAAAACACTCTATGGCTGCTAATATTCAATGTTGAAAGATAATATGATTTACAAACTCTATATTGTGTATTAGAAACAAAAAAGCTATAATAATAAGATGTTTTTCTTCTTGAATTGTCACCAGCAGCTGTCCGACAGCGTTTTTTCTCCAGATTTTCAGTAGTTTTAGAATAGAAATGTTTTTTTCCGTCATCATCTAAGGTCCAAAAGTTATCAAATATTATTTGACGCTCAATCTCAGATATATTGGTAGAACATTTAAATTTACAATTTCTGCAACTTTTTAGTGCAACAATAGATCTTTTTGGCATTTGTTCTCCTTTCGTATTTTTATAAGCTTTACCCGACTGACGTTGGATTTTTCTTACACTTTGTTTCCAACTACTCCTATCAGCTTTACGTTTCCTAGAAACCCCACCATGGGGCGACCGACGAGAAGGTGTAATGCCAAGCAGCTCTAACGATTAAAATATTAATTTTTTATTATCCAGGATGTATAAATAATTACTTTTAAATTTAATCTAAAATGGCACAAGCGAAAGTCGAATTCTACTTTTCCAAAATTATAATACAAATTAAGTTGAAAAACTACCTTCGTTTTGATTTAGGACAGGTTCCATTTCTTGGTCAATATTTGCAGTTGCCATTTTGAAAACAACAAAACTGATAAAATTATTCTGAACAACTTTGTAATTGTAATATGATTGGTTGATTGGAGATAATATTTTCAAGTTTGCTCATTAAGGAGATAGAACAATGCAATATTGCATGCAATACCGTGTTAAAAGTTTCATTTTTTTTCAATATAATTAAAGTAGAACAACACAATGCTAAAATATTCGAAAATAATAAAATCTCAATTTTTTCAAAAATTGGAGATAGCACAAGATAATTCTAACGTCGCGATAAGTTAAACGTTCAATAAGCGTACCAAATTTGATTTAATTGACTAAAGGGCATTATTTGTACATTCCGTGCTGATTTGGTGTTTATAAACAGTTGCAACAACCTCATAGGCAGTTGTATCCGAGCTTGGAAAAATAAAAATAATCGAATTTTGCTTAAAACATTTTTTTTGAACAACAGTTTAGTTCGACGGGGCTCTAGGATTCACAATTAGTAAAGTATTTAATTACGATATAATAATATCTATCGCCTTAACAAAGCTTCCTCGTGTGTAAAATTTTTATGCGAAAGATTATTTCTTTTTTCAAGCACTAAACCTTGCTTTAGTTGACTAAATTTAGTTACACTAAATATTTAGTCGATTAATTTGAGTTAACTAAAAAGTTAGTCGACTAATTTTAGTTAGACTAAAAAATTAGTCGGGTAATTTTAGTTTGCTAAAAAGTTAGTCGGGTGATTTAAGTTAACAAAAAGTGAGTCGACTAATTTTAGTTAACTAAATCATTAGTCGACTAATTTTAGTTAACTAAAAAATTAGTCGACTAATTTTAGTAAACTAAAATGTTAGTCGATTAATTTTAGTTAGACCAAAAATTTAGTTAAGTATTTTTAGTTAGACTAAAACTAGCCTTAACTCCCATCCCTAGTCTTCGGAATCTATTTTTTCCAAAACAATTAAAATCGGTTTGTATATACTGACAAACTCAAGCAGAATTTTAAAAATACATCGTTGCAACTTAGGAACTTTTTCAATGTTAAATGGCTAATTATTAACATTTTTTATTGCATTAGTAGTAACTCTTACAATGTCACGAGTTAAAGGATTATAAACATCATCTCTAACTGTTTTTACTTTGTAAAAAATGCCACGTGAACAAATGTAATCATTTTCTTCCTATTGATTTTTACGAATAACAGTCCAGTCTGTATTCCTTAAAAGAGTTTTTTTCTAATGCACGAACGAATTTCAGAGAAGTAACATCAACATCCATGATTTGGTCTAGATAAACGTCACTTGCATACTCTAGTGTTCTGTCAGTTTCTGGATCAGGACCACTACATGGTACAAAAACACAAATTAAGTCTGTCTTTACAAATAACGGAATAAGAAGTTGTTCTTTATCTAGAGAAATACTTTTTTTATCTTCTATTTTAAGTGTATTACATTTTTGATTTGTAAAGTACCGTGCTATGGTACGTACCATGGTCCATAGTGTAATAATGCTTGCATCATTACTGACATGACATCAAAATAAATATTGTTTACCAAATATAGCAGGTAAACAATGAACTTCTACATTTAGAAAATACTTTACATCTTTTAGGTCTATTTTATCTGCTTAATTTTAACGGAAATTCACTAAACGACTAAATGTATACATTTATATATGGAAATTCAGTAAACGACTAAATTTATACATTAGCCCCCTGAAATACTAACTGCCATTTTTTCATAAAATTTTTAATTCAGATCACAGTTACAAGTGTTAGTTACAAGAAAGGTAATATTACATTTTGAATAAATACAACTTTTTGGAATAGCAACTTTTGTCTAATACCAATTTCCCCTAAATTTTTTAATTTTTGTAAAAAAACGAGGTTAAATACTTTATAATATTTTAATAATCAAAATACTTGAGAACTTTAATTTTCTTTTTCACACCTATAACTTTTTAGTAATTATATATCTATCGGAAAAAAATCAATAAAGGTTTTTAGATTTTAGGAATGAAATACTTTATAATAATACTTTTTTTTGCCATAAAACTGCAGAAAAAAATATCATTAATAACATACTTGAATGCATGGCACATTTTGAAACGGGGTCCCATGTTAGAGCTTTCTGCAGGCCCCTTAATGATTGTACAAACAAAAAAGGAAAAGAAATTTTGTTTCACGGCAGATTTAAAAGGAAGAAAATCATAAATATAGATAAGCATAATAAATTTGTTATTAAAAAAAATTTCCTTTACTTTCAATAATTTTTATTTAGTGATTTCTGTTTTAAATTTTTAAATGTTAAAGTTAAACCTCAAGTTATCAATATTTTAAAATAGATTTTTCAACTTAATGAGAGTGAAAGGTTTTAAAGATTTATTCATTTAAAGATTAAAGTGCTTTAAGTTTTAAAACTGATGTTAACTTCACTTTTATCATAAAGTGGTAAAATTACGCCACCTTTTAAAACGTAACCTTTTAAAACATCAATTAATTCCTTAAATTAAAACAACTAAAATGACCAGCTTGACCTGACTACAGTTAGCCGAACAATATACTTTGTTTGGTTCAATATATTCATATAACCGTTTTTATTCAACCAAATATTTTGTTGAAAAGTGATGAGATCTGACACAACAACATCTTTGGCTAGGTATTGTTGTGTCAGTGGCGTCGCCAGTGGTGCGGGGTACGCAGGCCGCACCGGGTGACACCTTCACAACCTGACACAGAGGAGTGATACTAAAATAAAAAAAAAAATACGGCAGAACTGCTAAGTTCTGCCGTATTTTTAGATCTTGAATAAAAGACAAAAGATTTATAAATCTTTTATCTTTTATTCAAGATCAAAAGATTGTGTTTGGATGCTCAAAACATTTTTCTAAAAGACTTATGAACATGCCGAATCGCAGTATTCTATCTATAAAATGCTAAACGTCTAGATGATAAAAATATCGTGACATCTGTAATCCATTTCATGGTTGTTCTCCACTTAATTAAATTAGATAAACTTAATTATCCAGTATTTGTACTAAAAAAAGTATGATTAAGTTAGTGACTAAGTGAGGTGTCCAAAAGCAATCCTTTAAGATTAAAGGCACATTAGCCATATGGCAAATATAGGGGACTGCCTAGGAGCGCCAACCAAAAAGGAGCGCCTAATTTTCTATACTCTGTAATATATTTTATCAAGTATTTTTTTTTTTTAATTTTTTATCACATAATCAGAGTTGATTTTATATTTATTTGAGATTTTTTAAAATTTTCCTATCATTATGGTACCGGAATTTTACGAAACCGTTTTTTTTGGCCAATTCTGTGACACGCTTTTTTAAGTTTGTTGAAATGTCCTATGAACTGTTATGTTATGAAGTGTTACTTTCACAGCAAAACAAGTTTATAATATACTAACTTACATACATATTTACTCTATTCTTACTAACTTACCCCAATTGAGGTAAGTTAATAAGAGTGAGGGTGTAGCTACAGCTCTAGAGGGTGTAGCTAAAGGACTTCTAACCTATTAAACTAAAGTATCCAAATCATATTTGACGGTACCCTGTTTAAAAAATATAAGTAAAAATTTTAAATTTTAATACAATATTTCTACCTTCTTTAAAAACAATCTAGATTTTTCAACATACTCAAGGGTTTTGTAAACGTCCTTTTAGCGCCCTTCACGCACCTTTTGTATATGTACATATTACACTTTGTATGACTTTTCTTTTGATACCAAGTCGTATATAATTCGATCAGAATTGACAATGTTAGAACATTTTAAGTTAAGAATTTATATATCAAAAAAAATCTTTTATATCAGAAACTCGGTACTTAAAATGCCATAACTTTTTGTATAGTAGTTCAATTTTGTAAATTTCTTTACCTTTAAAATACTGAATTAAAGACCTTTCTAATGATATATAACAATCTTTTTCTAATGATATATAACAATCATTTGATGAGTTAAAAAGTTTAATGTTTAAATTAAACAACGAAACCAGAAGCTGGATACTCGTGGTTCGACGCCACCTCTGGGCAAGTTTATAACATCGGTAAGGAATGAGGCCTAAACTTCCTTTCAAATGCTCTTCCACGGTGCTCAGTGATAAGACCGTAAGAACCTCTTGGGGCACCTAAAATAAAAATTAAAAAAATATATATGTTTAAAAAAAGAACGCAGAATTTGCAGTGACCTTATACTGCAATACAAAATTACTTATCAGTTACAAGAGGTTAAATTTTACATACCACAAGCCCAGCCTTTTTTGTTAAATTCACGATATAATCTGAGAAGAAACAGCCAATGTTTAAAACCACTTCTTTACAAATTGAGTTACGAACCGATGGAACAAATTAACTCAGAATGTAGTTGATGCACCCACTGTGCACTTTTTAAAAAAACACGTTTAAAATGTTGCTTCGGCTGCAGCAATGTCCATTGTCAGCATAGGAAAGCCTAATGTGCTTCCCTTCATCAATTCAATCAAGAAGTTGTATTGATTACTGTAATAAATAAATAAAAAAAAAATAAACAACGAAAACTTTAAACAATAGCATTGTGTAATAGAATGTACCGGTTTCTATTTATACTTTTACAGTTTACTTTTTTATTAAATTAATAAATTAACAAAAACAACAGAAAATTAGTTTTTACTGAAAAATGGAATAATCGCAACATGCCGATAACGATCGCGATTCTTTTTAAGATGCCGATAAGTATCATTTGGCATTGTCATTATAAATTAATATTGCCGCAATATATTTTGAGATAAAAAGTTTTTTTTTTAATTTGAAAGCAGGATAAGTAGTATTTTGTTGATAAACATTTTATCATTATACCATAATATCAGAACTAATTCTAGCTGGTTCCATAAAGTTTTATCTATGATGGAGAGACTTATTCAGATGGAGATGGAGAGACTTATGTTTTGACGTTTTTAAGCAATAAACTAGTTTTTTATTGACCACATTTTAGTAAAGAAAAAAAATATTTCTTAAAATAAAAAAAATTTCATTTTTTCAAAACTAATAGATAGAGAGTTTTGATAAGATGGTAAGGAAGGGAGAACTAAACAATTAAATATCAACCCATCACCAAGGATGTGCACCTCCTCCTTTATTTAACGGGTGAGAGTAAATACCAACAACATTTATATACCGTAAATATTGAAGCGTATAAATCAACTAAATTAAAAAGTTTTAAAACTTTTTAATTTAGTTGTAAAATTCACTAACGTTTTGCTTCAAATTAAATTTAAATGTTTGATTGTTTCGGCTTTAGTTATAGGTTAAAACTCCATCCGTTTAGTATGAAATATTTAGATTCATTTTTATTTGTATTTGTTACTAAAGTAGTTTCCATTAAAAATATCAATTTCATTTAAGGCGATAGTTAACTAGTCTTAGTTCAAAGTTGGTTGTAAATTAGGAACGTTTGTAAATTTGGTTATCTTTTCTTAATAGAAAAGATTACTATCCCAAATCAATAACAAATTCCAGATTTTCCAGCATTTTATAACAACTATATTTTATTAACTTTTCTGTACTTAAGGAAATAGTATTCTCAGATCCAATCGATATTCGCAGCGTGCTACATCTTGTTTTCAGAAAAAGATTAATCAAAATGTGAAACCTGGTTTTTAGCAAAGATAAATTGAACAAAATGAGTAACGATCGAATGGCTAAAGTTGAAAAGGATACTCACAAAAACGCTAAAATAATCAAGTTGCTTGAAAATAAAGTAGCGAGTAGAAAATTTAAATTTTTACGAAAAACTTTTTGATAGAAAAATCAAGACTTTATCTGATTCTCACGAGAAAGATGATATTTTAAGCAAAGGAGGGATAAAAACTTATAACGATAATGTCGAGGTAATGAACAATACAAATATAGAATCTGTACGTATATTAAACACTCGGATAGACGAGCTTAACAAAAAGCTAAAGAGTGCACCATTAAACCATACTTAATGCAACCATACTTAAGGGTAAATCAGTTGAGGAAGTCCAACATCGCCATCGACTAATCAACATCGTCACGTCTGAAACTGAAAATCGACAAAACCGGGCATCTAATGTCATAATTGTAGGGCTACCCAAATCAGATGATTACGACGATATAATAGCTGCAAACAAGTTTTTCAATGTATGTGGAGTTGACAGTACCAAAGTAGACTACATCAGCAGAATAAAATCTAGCAAGGTAAACAACACAATCCATAACTCCAACATAGTCAAGGTCTCTTTAATAAATGAAGGAGATTAAACAACGAAAAACTCCATCAACATGTAGCAAGACTTACTTCTATTGACAAATCTGAATGGCCACACGTAATATTCTTTTCTGAAACTTGGTTCAGTGCTACGTCAGACACTACCATTGCTGGCTATCAGCTGCATAACACAGACCGTGATGGTAGAGGGGGCGGTGTTGCAATCCACATCATAGATGGCCACGCTAACAGCAAGGTTACCGACGTCACACTCACCTCGACATCCGTAGAACAAATCTGGCATATAATACATTTTGAAAACGAATCAATACTTCTTGCTTGTATGTATCGCCCAATAGATAAAAACGACGACACGCTCACTCAGATTTTTGCCTCTATTAAAGCAGCGCAACAAAATTAAAGTGTTCAACAATGCTTTTGTATGGTGATTTTAATTTTAGCCACACCAGTTATAAACCATGCAATCGTCTAATCTCAATAAACGAAGGAAATTCGCTTGGACATACACCAATGGGAAAACCTCACTGTCTTTTAGTCGGTCTTTTTGCAGTATACTCCAACAAGAACAAACAAACATTTCCTAGTCGCCGACGGCTTATCTGGAGTAAAGCAAATTTTGATGCAATTTCATTAGGTATAACTTCTAAAGAAATACCAACCAATCTCTCTGCAAACGATCTGTACAGTTGGTTTATTGACGTATATAACAAAGCTGTAAAATTGCACATTCCATCAACAACGACTCCATTTAAAATTAAGCAAGATCTTTGGGTCACACCAAAAGTATTGGAAGCAGTAAAATTAAAACGATCAACTTGGGCAAAATACGTTGCTGCTGGTAAAGATTCTCATGCAAAATTACGTAATAGAAGTAAAGAATAAGAAGTTTCAAGGAATTACTAAAACGTATGTACTCACACGTAAAAAACAAGTTTAAAATACATAATCACATTAGTATGCTTGAAACAGCGATGATAACATCACCGAAGACTCTAAGTTTATAACTTCAACGATTAAAAATTATTTTCATTCAGTTTTTGTCGAAGAACCCCCAACATCTTTACCAATATTTGAAGAGAGAAAAAAATCAACTTGCAAAATCGACGAAAGTTTGTTTACAGCTGCTACAGTACAAAACTACTTATTCTGCTTTGACGACACTAAATTAATGGGACTTGACGGAGTACGTCCTCGTGTTTTAAAAAACTGCGCAAAAACTTTTGCAATACCTCTTGCACTCATTTTCAAGCAATCCTTTTAAACTGGAAATGTCCCAGATCTTTGGCGTAAATCAAATGTTACCCCTATTTTTAAAAAAGGAAACAAACTCAAAGCTTGTAATTATAGGCCGGTATCTCTTACCTCTGTTCCGTGCAAGGTAATGGAGAAAATTGTTAAAGAGAGGTTTATGAAACACTGTACACTACACAATCTAATTTCAAAATCTCAGCATGGGTTTGTAAATCACAGAGGTTGTCTTACAAATTTAATTGAATCCCGTGACATTCTCACGGACGCAGCTTACCGTGGACACATTGTTGACATAATATTTACAGACTTTGCCAAAGCTTTTGATACAGTACCACACAAAAGACTCTTCACAAGATTCAGGCCTACGGCATTAGAGGCCAGCTATTCCACTGGATCTCTGCTTGGCTAAGTGAAAGAAAACAACGTGCAGTTATTGAGGAACAAACTTCCGAGTGGAAAAGAATTACAAGTGGAGTCCCTCAAGGATCAGTGCTTGGACCAGATGGCATTAGCAATTATAGCAAGTTATACGCCGATGATAGCAAGATCATAGGAATTATAAATACTAATCAATCATCCTCTGATTATGAAACACTGCAAACGGACATTGACAACGCTGTAAGTTGGTCACATAAATAGCTTATACACTTCAACATCGAGAAGTGCAAAGTAATGCACATTGGTTGCCGCAAAAATAAATCAACACATACCTATACCATGGCAGACATCAACAGTAACCGACATAACTTATCCCCAACGTGCATTGAGCGCGACCCTGGGGTACTAATATCCGACAACCTCAAAGTGAAAACACAAGTAGAAGCAGCAGCTTCGGCCGGAAATCGAATGCTTGGTAGCTTCAAAAAGATATTTCGATGCCGTAGCCTCCAGCTTTGGAAAAAATTGTACCAGCTATACGTTCGAACGCATCTAGAGTATTGTGTACAACCCAGTGGGCACGGGACCTAAAAAAGACGTCTTTTGAACGTTCAAAAGACGTCCAAAACGTTCAAAAGACGTTCAAAAGACGTCCAAAACGTTCATAAGACGTTTAAAAGACGTCTTTTTTACGTCCGTGCCCACTGGGAAGCCTGGTCTCCACATCTTAAATCGGAAGTTGTCCTTCTCGAACGTGTGCAAAAACGTGCAAAGTTATATCGTCGATTAAACATTTTAATTACGAAAAACGACTACAACTACTAGATCTAACCACGCTGGAAGAACGCAGAATTCGCAGTGACCTTATACTGCAATACAAAATTGCTCATCAGTTACAAGAAGTTAAATTTTAAAGAAACAGCCGATGTTTAAAACCACAACTGATAAAAAGAAATTGAGAACGTCAGCACTTCTTTACAAACCGAGTTACTAACCGATGGAACAAATTAGCTCAGAATGTAGTTGATGCACCCACTTTGCACTTTTTTAAAAAACACGTTTAAAATGCTGCTTCGGCTGCAGCAATGTCCATTGTCAGCATAGGAAAGCCTGATGTGCTTCCCTTCATCTATTCAATCAAGAAGTTGTTTTGATTACTGTAATAAATAAATTAAATTAAATTAGACTGCATAATTAAAGAATAGTTTAGAAATAATTCGAATTTTTGTTAAAATTCGATATAACGAATTTTTTTAAAAGTTAGGTTAATAAGTTAAGTTTTTTTTATCTAAAGATTTCTTTTCGTTTTTTAGATTTTTCAACTATTTTTTTGTTTAGTTTGGTATAAATTTCCAGCGCATTTGAGAATTTATTGTCTGACAAAATTTATTCATAATAAATGAAGGATAACAGTGGTTATTGAAATAGAAAGTTAGCAAAGGGACCATCCATATTTATAACGTACGCACCGAGAGGGAAAGAGGGGTCGCCCAAGTTGAGTAATTTACAAAACAATATAGATATTTTAGTTAAAAAAAAATCGTTTGACATCATCAAACAAATATTTAAAAAAGGAAACCAGTTTTTTTTTAAAAAAATGGATGATACTAATAAAAACAACCAATTGTAGGTTGTCGTGCGCAAATCTATGTCTTAGAATTTGAAATCAGCCCAGCAGAAGAAAGCAAATCGTTTGTGGGATGCAACTAAAAATATATGATTCAGTAATAGATAACATTGGGAGAAAGTTGTTGCAACTGAAGAGTCAATTAATGTCATTTTGGGTTCGTTCCAGTATCCCTAAATCTAAAATGTCTACCAATTCTAGCAACAAAGCTGAAACAACAATTACATTAATAGTTGAGGAGACAGTCGGGCAACAATCAAAAGACAAAGCATCCACTACTGCTACTGTTGCTGACAAACGTGCCGAAACTTTTTCTGAAAAGGCAGCAAAAATATTTAACCCCAAAGCAGAAGCGTCAAATTATAAAATCCAACTTCAGTTATCCCACAACTGAATGAACAACTGTTAGCTTTGTATGGGGCCTAAAGTTGAAAATGAATACTGTCAAGATGGATATTAAAAAGAAAAAGAATGAACTGAAAATGTTGGAAGGTGAAGCTGATCGTCAACGCAAGCGTCCTAGCAAAGCGTTGACGATCAGCTTCACTACGACAAAGTAGCCAAGCGAAGTAACCATATACGAGGTGCAAGGAAAGAAACGGCTATTTTTTTTTTTAATGTTTAAAAGAAAATGCATTGTTATTATACCCTAAAAAAATTATTAGTTTAAAAAAATTATTATTATTTAGTTAGAACATTAAACAAGTTAATTTTTAAATTTCCAAACTTTAGTATATTTGTTCTAATTCCATATTGAGAAGATTTACAAAAAATTGCAACGATTTGTGTCTCTGTTACCCACTGTTCATCATTAGCTTATTCTAACCAACCATAAACTTTAAAAACTGAGCATTTAAAGTTTATGGTTGGTTCTAATGCCAGATTGTTTATGGTTGGTTTTATATTTTAATCTACTTTAAGTCACTTAGTTTCATTTGTTTTTCTGAAATGTTCGTAGAGTTTTGTGATTATTTTGTTTATTGACTTTTAAAATATTCGACTGCCTTGAGTTTTGTACATACGAGCTTTTTTGTTGTTGTTGTTGCTTTTATTTGCTTATTATAATAGGTTAACCGTATTTCACAGTAATCAGAATGCATAATTACATTTTTTTTTTTAATTTTAAAAAACAGTATTTTTAGTTTTTTAAAAACTTTAAACAGTTACTACAAATCAAGATCTATCAGTTTTAAATTTTCAACTTTTATTTTCTAACTTATTATAGTTTATTAATACATTATACATTATGTATAGATTTTTTAATTAATTATTACATTAGTTATTATCTTTATCTTCTTCATATTACTCGCATTATTTATGCATGCATCGCTCATAGGCAGTAAAACGTTAAATGTTGATACACGTGTCTCAATAGCCAAAACTTTTTAAGTCCAAAAACTGCTTTCATTTGACATTTCATTGTGTAATACTTTTTAATGAAAAATACTTTTCAATCAAAATGATAAGATTAAAAGATTAGGAATTATCTTTTTAATGCTTTTCCGTTTTTGAAGCACACTTGAGAATTGCGTATATCCCCACTTGATTCATTAAATATTGCAATAAAAATTCGGACCATTTGTTGCAATATAGTTTTTATATCTTAAAAAAATTTTAAAAAGGTATAGATTTTATAGTGTACTATAGGACAAAAATTACAAAAGCAAATAATAGTTTTTAATTTCCCATAAGTTAAAATAAATTTTCTTAATACAAAAAAAATTGGAAAAATTGGAGAAAGATACTCTTATAAACATATACTAATAACATATTGTTTTTCATTTTTACCGTTGTTAATGTTATTGCTTTTCTGACATCTAAAGTTGCTTGACTAAATATTTACATGAGCAATATGTACAGATAAATACTGCTGTTATAATAAAAATAATATGTACAACCAAACACTACTGTTATAACAAAAAAATATTATCACTTTGTTTGAAAAGATATCAAAATATTACTTGAAAAGATATCAAAATATTACTTTTAAAGTAGTATTTTGGTATCTTTTCAAACAATGTTTAAAAAATGTCATATATATATACGTATATATATATATATATATATATATATATATATATATATATATATATATATATATATATATATATATATATATATATATATATATATATATATATATATATATATATATATATATATATATATATATATATATATATATATATATATATGTATATATATATATATATATATATATATATATATATATATATATATATATATATATATATATATATATATATATATATATATATATATATATCTTTAAATTCATTCATCTCGCTGAACTGAAAAGTTTGAGTCGAAAAATCCGGATTAAAAAAAGTACTTCAATTTTTATTTGCACTTTGCTTTTCGTTTGCGTGAGTAAACGTGATTCAAAAAGTAAACTCGAGAAAGCAATCTTTTTCACCTATAAAAGCTTTTATATTGAGAATGCTTTAATAAGTTTTTCATTTCTGATGATTTTTTAAATTATTTTTAATTCTTTCAGTTTCATTGTTTGAGATGCCATTTAAAACATTTCTAAAACAAAAAGCAAATAATTTTGTTTCTTTCTTTAAACCCATCAATGACAAAATGTCGATGATTTGAAGTGCTTCTTAGACAAAACTATTAAAACAATAAAAGAAAGTTCAAATTATTGAGGTTTGAAAAACAAACTTGCCAAAAGAACTTGTTTAGTTTTCAATAAAGCTTTAGGTTTTAGAAGTACATTTAAAATAATTGCGTAGTTAGTCAACTAAGCATTTGGCAAAGTTGCGTGCGTAATCGTAGAGCTTATTGTCGAGTTGGAAAAGTTCAAGTAGGGTCTTCAAATCTATAAATACACTTTAAGTTTAGTTACGAAATCAAAAAATTTAAGCTGTTAAAGAAGGAGAAAGAAGAAACCGTGTAAGGTAGTTTATTACTTCAAATATAAATATTTTAACATGTAAATGTACTATATTAAGAATAAAACTACATATTGTGTTAAGCATCATGATGCTCAAAATATAATTTTATAGTATTTTGATAAAATATTACATTAATTGATTTTTCTCGTTGAAAAATGAAAAAAGATTTCTCTTTTTGTTTTGTTTTTGACATTATTTGTAATAATATTTGATAGAGTTTAGTCACCACCTTTAATAGGAGTACACACACACACACAAACACAAACACACGCACACACACACGCAACAAAGTTCATTGTATAACACGTTGAAGTTGTTGATGTACATAGTATTCATATTTCAAACTGCAGCATTAAAAATTATTAAAAAACTGTCCGTAATTCCTCAATTTATTTTAGATTAAAATTTAGAAAAGATTAATACTTTTGTTTTTGATGTGTTTTGTTGTTTATACTTTAGATGCATTACGTTCCAAAAAATTTGAATGCATTTGTTGCGATAAATGTTATGGTTAGCTTAAGTGTGTTTTTAAGCTTATAAAGTGTTTTCTTACTTTTTATTATTATAACCTGGTAATATTTTCTTACTTTTAATTATTGTGGCCTTATCATATTTGGTTAACTCTAATTTAAAAGTCATGTGTAACAACAGATTTACCACGTTGTATAGATTAAAGTGGATCAATGCCTTAAACATAATAAAACAGTTTATTTTGAAATTACTTGTTTTAGTGGTATTTATTCTTATTATCTTATTATAAATATATAGTTTTTATTATGGATATATAACTACAAAGTTTTGTCTGATTGTGTGCGCGTGGACTAGCCTCATTTTAATACTACGTTTCAATACAATTTTTTAATACATTTAATCGAATTTAAAATAAATGAGTAGCGACAGCGCATTTTTATAATATAGCTGACATCTCAGTAAAAGTAATTTATTAAAAAAAAATTAACTTGCAGTAATTAGATAAAATAATTTGCCGTATTTCTAGTAACTAACTAAATGAAAAACTCTAATAATAACCATCTTCAATTAGGCAACTTGGTAATCTTATAAATGAATTGAAAATAAGAATAATTAAATAATCATTTTAAATATAACAATTTATGTTTTACAAAAAATATATTTTTAAATTTATTTTTAATCAATTTAACCTTCTACAACAGTATCCTTTTATTTGCATGCGTTCTTTACGACTGTTTTTAGCTATTCTTTGTTTTTATCACACTTTCTTTTAGTATTTTTTTCTGAAGGCATTTGTTTTAAAATCTTATTATCAGTATAAGGTATAAAAAAAAATATTTCTACGTCTGTTTAATTGTTAATGCTTAATAGAGTACGCCCTGATATATTGCAAGCAAGCGGATCAAAGCTAAGGATAATTAATTAGTTTAAACGTAATCAATGTAAATCTAATTTACGCTAACTTAAACTTTTAGTTGCTACAAGTTTTCTGTAAGTGACAGTAAATTAAATGTCTGATGTTTAAATCTAATTTGCATCTTTTCTTAAGCAGACAGAGGTAAAAAACCATTATTGCTTTCGCGTTGCTTATAAAGAGCTTATACAAACAGACAGCATGAACAGTGGAATAAAACCAACATTAACTGTTAATATTTATTTATAAATTTAACAATTGCTAAAAAGTTAACAATTATTTATTTGTCGTCATGTTTCCGGCAGGTAATTTAAAATCGGTGCCTTATCGATACAAGTAATTACTTCGAGATAAACTTCTTTCTAAAACTTGGCATAACTCTTTATTAAAATGTATAATAAAAAATAAAATGCGGTGGCTACTTATTATTATAGATAGTATTTTATCTGATGGCTGTAAAGCAATTTCAATGACAATTAAATGTATACCAATTATTGGTGACCAATCATTGATGCAAAATGTATTTTTTTGTGTGTGTAGGAAAACTTTGTGTGAAATTTGTATGCGAAATTTAATCAGAAAGATCGCACGAGAAACTATTACGTGAAACCATAGACTTTTCAGATATTGGCATGTTCTATTTTTACACGTTCTTTTTTTTTTTTTTTTTTTTTTTTTTGCTAAAATGTTTGCTTATCAGTTCATCGCCACTTGACAATAAGGATATTAGAGCTGTCAAAATGCCAGAGATTACAGTGTGAATAACCCGTAAGCTAAACATTTTAAATGGCGCTAATGTTATTGATTTATTTTAGTAGAAGATCTTCTTGCAGTTGTGTTTATATTTTATAAATTTTTTTATTTCCAAACAAAAGTATTTTCTTTTTGTTTTAATTTTATAAAATATTATATCTAGATATCAAATATAATACAATAGCAGAACAATCATGAAATCTCATTTCCTGTTACTGGTGTTAGGTAGGCTGAAAAATTTCTCTTGCATAATTTAACGCGTATCATTTTTTCTCTTGCATAATTTAACGCGTATCATTTGTCACATAAAGTTTTTCGTTCTCGTTTTCAAAAAAATTATTTTTATTTAGTTTCTTTTTATTCTACAAAAGCCGCTAATGATAAATGCGAAGATTTTAGCAAACATATAGATTTTCATAACCCGACATTTTTTTATGCTCCACTATCACCGATTGGTTCGTGGACATCCTCAAGGTTTTAACCTTTTTTTTTATTGCTATTTTTTATTTTTTATATTTGTTTCCAGCTTTCATTTATTTGTACTATGTTTTGTGTAGTTTTTGGTTATATGTAATGTACAGTCTTTTAAATGTGATTTTTTTATTATATTATATTATTTTTTATTATATTATATTATATTATATTGTTTCATAATTCTTTACCGTATAATGTTCTAATTATGAACTTTTTTATATTAGTTGCGAAGTGATCCCCGGTCCACGTTATATTCTTCGTAAATGGAACATAAAAGAATCAGTTTTTTATGGAACTATTTTCCATTATTCAGACAGTTGGTGTACTCAGCCATTGTTTTCAGTACAAGTATCGGGTTCTTACAAAATACATGCGGCAACTGCGACTCCTCAAGCAAAAATTTCGAAGGCTTGTGAATTTAAATTTGAAAAAATATTTTATAAAACTGATAATGTAACTACATTACAAGAGACGTTAGAATTAATTAAACAAAAATGTATTGATGCTATTCCTGTTCTGACAATGGTAAAAGAAAGTGACAGCGAAAATATTACGTGGGACTTGTTTATAAATAAAAATATCAAAATTGAGAACGCCGCTATCACAAAAAAACATTGCAGATATTATTTTGGTCTCCACTCTAACTCGTACAAAAAAATAAGTATGATTGGATTGAAAAAAGATTTCAGTAACGAAAATGATGTGCTTTATTTTTCTGATATTCCTCCAAAGCATCATGAAAAGAGTAAAGATTATATAGGGGATGGATTTCAATATGGTCTTTTTCGAGTTCACAGACCTAATTGTCCTGTTTGTGAATTAATTAATGTTTCTGAAGAACAACCTATTTTGCCGCCTTACGACCATTCCCAGGATTTTATAGGGGGATGGGTGTCGAGTGTGTGTGAGGCAGTAAACGACAATACATTCCAGACTCGATATTTTGAGTTTTATCCACCAAATGGTGAAAATTTTGGGGATGTTTCCTTGCAAATCAATTTATACTTAGATCAAAACTGCAAAGATAAAAGATTAATTATTAAAGCACGTGGTAAAGTTGATGAAATATCTCCGCATGAATCTGTTGACGGCATTTTAAAGCTTTCGCTAATTTTAAAGTCAATGTTACTTACTGGTTACAATGGTCCGACTTTAGGGATTATGCGACAACCTGATAATCGGTGTGGAGATTCTGAAAAATGGAAATACGGCTTTGAACAAGATGTTACCCATACAAATGGGTGCAAAATGCTTGGATTAATTGTACCAAAAAACTCAGACATGTTTATACGAGTTGTTAGTAGACAAGGCAAAAAAGAACTATACATCCAAGATAATGATGAAAAAGGAACATTTTTTACCGATTATTTAATTCCTTGTAATATTGCGTCTGCAAATATTTCTAAAATGACTACAAGTGAGCTTCCTACACCTCGAATAAACTTGATACCAGAAGCTCCAGATTTTGATATAATGGACCAGGATTTTGACAGTCCATCATCAACTGCATCTTCATATAGGTGCTCATTAGTTTTGTTGGTTTTGTTGAAAATGCTAATGCAGTTCTTTGATTAATAACAATAGTTATAACACGAGTTGGAAACCATTTTTCACGGTAAATAGTTCGGAGATTTATTGTTTTAGGGTAAATGTATTTTACAAGACCAACCGGCATCCGACTTTAAATCAACACGGTTGGGTGCCGGCTGTTAAGTAGTTGGATGTACATATTGAAAATAATGCTCTAACTAAAATTGAAATATTTAAACTTTGGCATAGCCTTTTCATTTTCATTTTTTTATCATATATTTTTTAAATGTAAATATAATTTAAATTGTAACAATATAAGTTATTAAAGCATGATTTTTCTAGAAACTACGTTTTATATTCTATATATATATATATATATATATATATATATATATATATATATATATATATATATATATATATATATATATATATATATATATATATATATATATATATATATATATATATATACATATATTATGGAAATTCAAAAGATGTAGTAAATAAACCGATGCAATATTTATTTAGATTAGCAAACCTTTTATTAAAAACTCTTACTCGTTCTTATGACATTTATAGTGGATGTTGTAAACATATAGGCCAAATAAAGATATTTAAAGCAGACTAAAAGCGTTAGAAGTATTTAAATATAACTCAAATATTTTTCTTATTGGCTTTATGTTCAAAATTGATTTGATTTGATAAATATTTAAGAAACATCTCGTTTTTAAAAACACAAGTTTGTAAACACACGTCATTAACGGCGCTAGAAATCATCATTTAAGAATAATTTTTTAAGAACATAAATACTTATACGCATAATTTAAGCCGTTAACACTGTCATGCTGAGTCAATGTCTCTTTTAATATAACTGCATAAAAGTTTGCTACTGTATCTATTTGTTTCTTACAATTTATCATTTTTTAAATTTAAAAAAATAAAACAAAATCAAATTTAAGGCCGATGCCGATGCATCAATATCGACTTCTAATAAAAAATATATTTAATATATCGAAACTGACGTTGGCGCAAGATATTTTACGATGAGCGCGTCATGAAAGTTGTTTAAAACTGACGTTTGCACAAGATATTTTCCGATAACTGCGTCACAAAGGTCTTTTTTCGGTACAATGATGTATGCATACTTTTTTTTTATAAAGTTTTATCAAAACCTAATCACAGATATTTAAACAGCTCTAATTGCAGATAATTTAGCAGCCGTTATAGAATTTAGCCGTTATAGATAATTATAGAGAGCAGCTGTTACAGATAATTGAACAGTCGTTATAAAAAATTCAATAGCCATTTTAAAGCACAATAGTTATATAGTTTTTATTGAATGGAATACGTTTTTCCATTGGATGAGTTAAACAAAAATTTTCTAGACAATAATATTTACAAGAATTTTTAACACTGGAATCTTGGATTTACACCCATTTCTGGGTCAACTCCTGCAGAAAAAGAAACAGAAATGATATAAAAATTTGGATTAAATTTGCGAAGTTGTGTTGTTTGCTGCGTAACTGATGGAGCTAAGATAATGATTAAGTTTCGGAAAATTTTTTTCCTCCTGAACAAGAAGATTATTCTGGGCTGCAAAAAAGATTTTGTACGAAAATATTGTTTAAAAATATGAGAACAAAAGTCACAATTTTGCAATAGAAAAGCTCTGTGAAGTTTTAAAGACAATGTGGGAGTAACAATAAGGAAAATTTCCAGTTCATTGATGGTAAAATCAATAAAAGTATTCCTCTACCAAAGGTCAAAGTTTATTTTAAGTTCAAATTATTAAAGTTCAAAAAAATATTACACTAATCAAAATATATTTCGGTTTATTACAACATATTGCAATATTATTGCGCATTCAATTTAAATTGCTATATATTGCTCAATTAATTGTCCAATAAAATATTAATAAAATTATACAAATGTAATGCGTAATTTAGATGCATTTAAATATAAATAATTCTGATGCTTTTCTAATTGCCCGTGTCATTTTTTTGTTTTACATCAATTTAATGCGTTTATAAGCAATAGCAAGATTGTTGTTAAAATTTTACAATATTATTGCAATATTATTACAATATTATTGCAATTAATTAGACTATTTAATTTTTTTTTTTTGAGAACGTGCGTTATAAAGTATATATAAAGCCACAAGCAAAGACGTTTATAAAATAAAAATATTATTTTGGATTCAAATTGGTCAAATGTACGCTTCTAAAGTAATTAAACTTAAGTACTTAATGAAACTTAATCAGATAAAGGTTTGAATTAGGACTTGATAGATTAATTGACTAAAGTCAATTATGTGCAAAATAACCTATTGCACCTTCTAACATCGTGTGCAATCCTGTCCGTTTTCTCTATGCTATCTACTTAACTCGATTACTTCTATTTTTCACTCTAACATATCTTCGTTCTTTCCAAAATCACTTTACTCTTGGTCCGTAGAGTCGGTTACGACGCTTCTTGGGGAGCCGAACTTGTCTTTGCGGGCCTTGATTATGTGGCCTCTGTATGGCAACTAGCCGGACGAGGATAAAGCACAATATAAACAAAAATAAAAACAAAATATTTTTAAAGTTTGAAAAGACATCACCCTGTCATATTGTCACCCGTGTAATTTTTATTATCAATGTTACGAGATTATTGCCCAATATAATTGCAATTTTGTTGTCAATATTACGATATTATTGCCTAATATATTGCAATCCATTGCAAGATATTGGCAAATATAATTACAATTATATTGTCAATATTGCAATATTATTGCCCAATATATTGCCAATCCATAGCAAGACATTGGCAATATTGGCCAATGCAATTGCAATATTATTTCAATGTTTTAAAAAAATATTGATTAGTGCAAGTTGTTTTCAAGCTTTTTAACGTATATATTTAATAAACATCGATAAAACAACGTCGCTTATAGGATTATAAAATGTAGAAAAAGTTTTGTCTTTTTAAACGTATAGGAAGTGTTATAAATTTTTTACTGCAACAATAACGTCTATATTGTTATAATGGATTTCTTTCTGAACGAATAATCGACCAAAATTAACCCGACGGGCATTTGTTTTTAAAAGTTACGTTCTAAATGTGTTTTAAACGTTTTTTAAACATTAATGTTTAAAAGACGTTTAAAAGACATTTAAAATACATTTAGATCGTAACTTTTAAAAACAAATGCTCGTCGGGAAACGTTTTGTTTAAACGTTGTTTTGATGTTTAATAAACATTCGTGTTTTTATTGGGAAATTTAAATCTTTTTTTTCTTAGTTATGGTTTGCTTTTATTCATAATTATTTGGTTATATTACTGTTATATTGCGTTGGCTATGTACTAATCACACAAAACTTTATACAAGAAACAAAAGCTTGCATGCAAAATAGTATTTAGAGTCGATAGAACTTACTTGTTATTTACAAACCACTTCTACGTGTGCCTAAATGTATCTAAACTAAATTTACACTAGGTTTTAATGTTCATATTTAAAATAAAGCTTGGACTGTCTTCTAAATTGTTTTAATCGTATTTTAGTGAAGTTTACCACAAGTACTTAAGTATCTTCATTTATTTTGTTCAAGAGTTATACACTTCTTTAAATATTTCTTAAGCGTTTTAGCAACTGTAACCATTTCAGCACTTCCTAATACATACATTTTCATTAGAGGAGTTTTGGTATGTATTCAATCATTTGGTATGTATTCATCCATGTATTCAACTTTTTTTAAGGGCATCTTCAAATATCTGTTTGGAGGAATTAAATACATTTTCATTAGAGGAGTTTTGGCATGTATTCAATCATTTGGTATGTATTCATCCATGTATTCAATTCCTCCAAACAGATATTTGAAGATGCCCTTAAAAAAAGTGGTTTTGAAAACTTTGAATCAAAATTTGACCCTGAAAAAAAGAATACAAAAAAGTGAAATATATAGCAAAAATGTTTCTACAAACATAGGCAAAGTGTTTTTAAAATTGATCGATAAGCATTTCCCGCCCTCTAATAAATTACATTAAATTTTTCATCGAAATACTATTAAAGTTAGCTACAGTTGCACAAAAAATATGGAAAGAGTTATAAAAGGTTACAACAATGCTTTGTTAAACAAAAAAGAAATCCAAAATGAAAAAACTACAGAAAATTGTAATTGTAAACAAAAAAACAATTGTCCAATGAGTGGAGGTTGCTTATCAAAAAATGTGGTATATAAATGTGTTGTCTCCTCTAAGAATGTACCTGATAAACAATATATTGGCATAACAGAAGGTGAATGGAAAAAACGTTATGCCAATCATAAGCAATCTTTTAAAAATAAAAAGTATTCAAAGACACCATGCTGTCAAAATATGTATGGGAATTAAAAGATAAAAATATTGATGATTTTACACTGAATTAGCCCATCCTTAAAACAGTGCCTGCATATAACAATATTTCCAAAAAATGCATACTATGTCTGCAAGAAAAATTTGAAATAATTACACATACAAACCAAGAATGTTTATTAAACAAAAAATCGGAATTGATTTCTAAATGCAGGCACGAAAATAAGTTCCTCCTAAAAAACTATAAAAATAAGTGAGCTCAAATAATAGTTACATTAACTCATAAATAATTTCTAAAGAATTCTTTTTATAATAGTGTCAGCAAACTACACAAATGTGTGAAAAATTGCAGTAGTTAAGACATGTGACTTCCTGTAATTTAATTTTTGGTATAAATTAAAGTTTTATTAATTTGATCATTCATTTCTGATGTCTTTATTGATGAAACACAGTGTTAATGAGAAAAAATTTTGCTAAGTGATTTTCTACTAATTTGTAATTGCTCTGTTCTTTTAAGAACATTGAGCACTCTTTTTGTAGAATACATTTTAAATTGTTTATATATATATATATATATATATATATATATATATATATATATATATATATATATATATATATATATATATATATATATATATATATATATATATATATATATATATATATATATATATATATATATATAGGTTAGATTAGGGTATTATGAGCACCATGGTAACATGAGCAAACTTAAAGATTTCTTAGATGTAAGCACTGAAGTTAATGTTGCTTTGTATTTTTTGAATTGGTTTTATGTGGTGATAACAGGAATCAGTACAATTAGCGTAAATTTATATGCAGTAATAAGCGGCTATCATCTAATTAAAATGCTTAAAAAATATTTGCGTTGTTAAAATAATACCATCACTCATGAATAAATCTACGGCGCAAAATTTTAGTGTTAAAACAATGAAAATAATTTTTTCATAAGGAAAAACATGAAAGCTAAAAATTCAGCCCATTTTTGT